AATTTCCAGCTATAAGATTTTGTGTCTGTTTCCCATCCATGCATTCCTTTTAATACTCCTTCCTTCCCAGTCTCCAGGCTCAGAACAATAACAGAAATGAGTATGTTTCATAGGACTCTGACAGCAGGACCAATTCTCCAACAAATTGATATGTTTGGTACAACCTGCTCATTCTTTGTACTCAGATAGAAAGCCCCTCAGGGCACCGACTGTCTGTTTTCTGTGCTTAATCAACACAAAAGACCCAGCCCTCTCTGGGAATGCTGGATGCTATCTGGATTCTTACAGATGCTTTGATCTCCCTCCATTATCAGGCCATCCCTTTGAGACTCAAACGGCTGAGGTTCTTCCACATTTGTCATCATACATTAAATCCATATGCAGAAGAATATACATTTCTTTCTCTTTTAAAAACACCCTCTTCTTCTCTCTGCACATCTGCTTAAGCACAAGAAAAGTTCCCTTAAAATTGCTGAATCTGTGCTCTCACACTGATTGTGATGCACACTGCACACAGGACCCTATAACTGCAGGCTGCATAATGTGAGCTGGCCAATTGGAAACCAAATATATCAATATACACATCCAAATTCATATTCTATGAAACACGGATTTTTGAACACATGAAATTGCAGATAAATTAGTCTTAGTGGTAAGCACGTGGACCAGAAATTCCTGCAAGGGTTACTCCAATAACCATATGGAGTCACCAAATGATCAGGAAAATAGAAAAGGTGTTTTCTAAACTGTTCATCACCCTCAGCCCAAACTGAATAAGCGCAGAGATTGAATTACCTCTTGCCCATGGAGAAAATAATTGCTTTTGATCACAGGGTTCCGTGTTTTGGCAGGGTACCAGGGTGCTCCCAGCATGGCTGCCTGTATCACAGGACTGTATATGGCCAGAGGGCAAACATACGATTCCCACTGTGCCAACATATCAACCTTTGTAAACACAAACATGGAATGAAAAATAAGAAGAGTCAAGAATGTATCATGCCAGCAGTACATGCTGTATTTATTATTCTAGTGCATATGCTCTGAATAAAAAGATCGTTGCAGGGGTTCCATTGGCATTCTTCCTCAAAATTAGGCATTTCCAAATGTACAACAGCTGATTAGAGTACTTTTTAAGTTAAAAAAAAAGATCATATGGAAAAAAAAAATAAAATAAAACACACAAAAAAAAAACTAGATTAAGAATATATATTTTTTTTCTTAATGTCTTTCCATTTTTCATTTTCTCACTATGGTGTATCTTGAATCACTGTCAGTCATTGAATTGTATCAAAAAGAGACCTTTGTATTCTGATGGTTACGGAAAACAGCTGTCCCAGCTTCTTCAGGCATCAATTTCCTGCTGCTGAGTGAGTTGCAGAGAAGGTGCATACTATAGGAATTGAATTTCACATAAACCATCTATGAAAAAGGAATTCTAATTATTTGAATTTTTTATTTTCCCAATTATAACTTAATTAAAACCTTAGTTTGAAACAGATTTGAGAAAAAGAAAAAAAAAGTTTTCTAAAGTAGTTTTCATTGTTCTAGTTTTGAATTTTGGTAAAAGCTATCATGATGATTGGGGAAAAATGGCATAGTCAGTTTGATCTACTCTTTCAGTTACATTATATCTAAGTTTCATACGAAATTTCTTCACAGTTACCCTGTGAAGGAATTCATAACTGTTACTGCCGGCTACATGAAATGTCATTTTTTTCTGAGTTTGCCCAGAGATTGAAGATTTTTTTCTGAAAACAAAATAACTTTTTTTTTTTTTTTTAATAATTCATCTGAATCCGAACTCTCAGATCCTCATATGCTTTGACACTCTGCTTTTCACTCTTCATTCACACAGAATCCACAGGAACCACCGGAATGAAAATTGTGCCAGGAGGAAAGTGGCTTCAAGATCAAAGTGCAGATTTATCAAGAAAACAATAAAGAATAGGAAAACAAAACCACTTTAACTAGACAAAGCCACTGTATACTCATACCCAGAAGATTTCACTCATTAGCATATTTGTGAACAAAAGGGAGAGGCAAGCATAAAGAGGAAAAGCAGACTGACATTAATGAGGTTGCAAAAATGTAGCTGAGAGATTTGTCCCTCAACTTTCCTATGTCTATAATACAGTCAGCAGTGGATTAACATGCTACAAGAGAGAGGTCTGGAAGCTGTTCTGAACCCAGAAGAAAGTTTGGTTTAAAATGGGTGCTGTAGTTAATCAGAACAGTTTCCCCAAAAAAATTTCTTGAGAGTACCTCTGGCAAAAGATTGCTATATCCAACTTTTCTAATAACATTTCCATTTTAATCTTGGTAGAACTTACAATGAGAAAATGCAGGATTCCTCGATTCCTAAACCAAGAAGGAAGTTAATGTTTTCCTGTCTGCAAGACTTATCCAAATACTGGTGACCCATAAATGATGTAAAAATATTTTCCAAATAACATGATTTAGTAAGTTTAACAGAATAATTTATAATTTATAACTAGAGAAATAATATGCAATAGTAGTCTTTTTTTTTTTTTTGGATCTCCTTTAAGCCTTTTCTGTCCCAACACCTTCAATAAAAATCTTTTTTCTCTGAATATTTTCTAATAAATTGCACTGTTTACACTGTGTTGTAAAAGTCAGTGAATGTACTGACTTTCACATTTACAAGTACAGAAGAAATCCATGTAATTTTCTGACACGTTAGATTGTTGGAGAAGAAAGCATAATTTGTATAGGGGAGGCTCTTTTTGCTTGTTGGTTTGGGAAAGGCCATTCTGTGTACGACCAGGTTAAGACATTATTGTGGTAGCAAGGTAGGTAGAATGCAAACTGCTCTGGCCTGTCTGCTTTCATTATTTCCAAGTAAAACTGTCTGCTTTCTCTGCTGTGTGGTAGAACTTATACATTACTGTCCAGAGAAAGACTTCAAAGATCTTAGCATGAAAAGAATAGTTTTAAGATTAACACATACAGCTCATTTAAATATCAAAGCCTAGTGTTTAGAATCACTACATCTGTACTGCCTCTATAACAGTATCCAGATTTTACTGAGTATTTCTCTCACTCAAGAGATATATGATATGTTGTTAACGGCAAAGGGACATTTAAAGATTAAGAGTCCTCTTGGCCTAAGCGTTTAGCCAGTTTATGGAGCAGAGGCAGACTGGTGACTAGAAAGATGATAGCTAGGTGTTTCTTCTTCCTTCTCAAAAATGTACTGCAGATCCTATTTCACAGAGTACTGAGTGTATGAGATAACTGTTCATTTCCAAGTTCAGGAAAGCATGCATTCTCAGTGACAACCCTTTTCCAAAGAAGGTCTGACTCTCAGCTGCCTACCAGGATTGTGCTCATCCATGCTGCTCCTGCTTTCTCTTTTTCTCTGCTTCTGATAGACACATGCACCACCAGCAATGACCTGTCAGCCCTCCAGCCTGATATTTGTTGTGCACCAGTCAATTTGCCATAGCCACCCATCAGCTCCTTTTACCTTTGGACTGCTGTTGCGATTGTTTCACAGAGGAGAATATGACTCTTCTTCCATTTACTGTATTTTTAAAACCAAAATCTATGACATTAAAACTTACTATAATCATTATAAGAAAAGTATACATTATCTTCACTATGGAAAAACAAAACAAAACAGAACAACAAACAACAACAACAAAAAACAGCACTTGGCATTTAGAAATATTGTAGTTATATCTCTAATGATAAAAACCTGTATGTATGTAATGAATGGGCTTAGACATCTAATGAACTGTTTATGCCTTTCTGAAATATATATTGAAATTGCTTTGTGCAAGATACCAAAGCTGTTCCCAAAATGATGTTCATCCAAAAGTCATTCCTAAAATTACATGAGTGACATTTGAGAACTGTTAAGACTAAATCTTTGAAAGCCTTTAGTATTGTAGTCAAGGATTGACACACAAATAAACAATGAATAAACAATGGGAAAATAGTGCTATGTTTGTCATTAACTATAGCATATGCTTAAGAATGCTCCTTTGCATCCCTGGGAATATTTTACAACCTATGCCACTTTATTTTGTAAGATGAGTGGGATCATCAAAAACCTCACCAATTCCAAAGTGCCCTCTTCTCTTGACCCTGCCCACCTTGCAATGCCCTCACTACACCATCCTGACTTTTATTCTTACCTGGCTCAGTTGGATCATTTTGGGAGTTGATAGAAGTTACACAGGAACAAGGAGTTTTCAAATAGGAAAGTTCCTTAATGATTTGTATATATAGCTATAACTCAGATTGTAGTCCAGTAGTCTCACTTGCTGGTCTAGGATTCGTTCCAAAGCCACATATAGCTCTTGATACAAAACTGCAGATTGTGTTGGCTCATAAATGGCCAATACAGGAGTCAGAAAAGTCTTCAGTTCTGTGGAATGTTCTGAGTAAGTAATGTGATTGAATGTCTGTGAAACAGGCTTTTTAAAAAATCTTGTAAAAGATCTTTTTTTTTTTTTTTTTTTAGAAATATCTAAGTCAGTTGGTGGATATCCTAACATGTTATCTCAGATTGAATTATATCTTCTGAACAAGGTAAAAATCAATGACTAAACTGAAGTTGCAAAGGATTCTCTACTATGACACCTTTGGAAAACATCCAACTTCAACACAGTCAGATACTGACTTATGTTAATACTAACTAAAATCTTAAGTCTCTATGTACACATGATTACAGTATAGGAACAAGTTTGTTCATCTGACTTGGAAGAACAGATAGTTTCCACAACTTTTATGATACTTTAAAATTATTTCAGAAACTTCTAACTCTCACAATTAATTTGGCATCTGGTTAAAGCTACTAGAATAATTTCTAGAATTACTAGAATAAAAAAGAAACGTTTGTACCATATAAGTGTTGACTAATATCTGGTCAGACAGTTTCAATAGTTAGACCCTCAGCTGGATATGTTTCATGTCTTCTTGTTCAGAAACTTTTCAAAATACCGGCACATATAGACAATGTGTTGCATTTTCAGGTTGAGTGTGATTATCCAGACAGAATGACACCTGTGTGGTTGGTTCATACATTTACAATGTGAAGAAGGTAAGTTATATCATATATAAAGTATCATTTTCAATATTACACAGTAAATTGAGATTTCATACTACTATTTGATTCTAATGAGCTCATGCAGAAGCTTTATGCTGCATTACTGTTTTTTATTGTAAGAGTCATTATTTTATTCTACTCAAAACATCTCAGCCTGCTACACGCTTAAGTTTAAAATCCGAAAAAAAAAGAGAACTTCAAGAATGATTTTAATATAATTTTCACAGTTATTTCCACAAATAATCAAAACTAAACTAAACTAAGCCAAACTAAACACATTTGCCTGTGTTCAGCTCCTTTTGTGGCAATAGTATTTAATATGTTACAAGACCTGAAATATATTGTTTGTTGCTCTTTTTTTTCAAGGACAATCTGCTATGGAAAAATGTTCTTGACTCTTTTGCAGAAAACTTTACTATGGATGGATGTGAAAGGTGGACACTTTTTTGCTAATAAATATTCTGAAGTGTCATATATAGCAATTTATATTATTTATTTTATTTTTTTAATTTATTTTTTTATTTTAATTTTAGAAATACCTCAGTAAAATATTATTACTACTATTTATAATGTCTAAAGCAACTGGTTAGCTCTGAAGTGGTCAGGCAGTTAGACTACTAGATGATCTTTGAAGATCCCTTCCAACTGAACTATTCTATGGTAAAGACAAAAAATCATTTAAAATAACTGAAAATTTATACCCATTTTTCTATACTCTGATGTACAGTAATATGGAACAACATTTGTATGCTGTTGCAAACAGTATTTTCAAAATAGCTGCTGGGGTTCTACTTTACACATATACTATATGCATTTGTACTATTACTTACAAACAAGTTTTATGTATGTGTAACATATGTTTATTTTTAAGGAGCATAAGGATACAAAGGAAACCAGAAAGATAGAGTGCCCTGAAAACTGCTTAGAGCTTTCAATCGAAGGATGAAAATGCATGAATATTCTATATGAATACACTATCTAAAAATAATCCTATACAAGAGTATGATGACAGAAGGGTTGAAACTAGGTGATCTTTAAATGTCCCTTCCAATACAAACCACTCTGTGATTCTGTGATTCTATATCATGCCTAATGAGAAAAAGGGAAGAACCAGGATCCCAGTGAAATCAAAATTCATCTGATAAATGCACAATGTGTTTCATGACCCTAAACTTTCCTGGGGCACGCATCAGAGATGTTAGGAAGGCTCTGTCATGACTCATTAAACCAGAGGACTACTATCCTCTCATAGTCATTCAGGTTGGATCCCAGGAAGCCACTATCAGAAAAATGAAGAATATTAAAAAGGACTTTGCATCCCTGGGAAGGTTGCTGAGGGGATTGGGGGTGCAGGTAGTGTTCTCCTCTGTCCTCCCGCTGGGTGACTGGGATGCAGATAGAAGGAGCAGAACAGGACAGGTAAATGCTTGAGGGGGTGGTGTCTGGACCAGGGATTTGGGTATTTTGATCTTGGGCCGTCCTTTGAGAGGCCGGGTATGTGGGCTATGGACAGACATCAACTGAGCAAGTGGGGCACAAGTGTGTTGGGGAGCAAGCTCTCTGGGCTGATTACCAGGGCTTTAAACTAGGTTTGATGGGGGAATGGAGGGGAGCTAAAGGTAACAGAGAAGGGCTGGGGGAAGTTGTCACTGCTGTCACTGTTGAAGATAGGGAAAAACTTCTGAGCTCTGCCATAGGATTGTCTGAGGACTCCTCAGAGAAGGTAGCCTTCCCGATCCCCTGTCCGGTATCTTCTTCTTGCATCCCCCCAAATGGTTCCTACAATGCGTTGAGGACAATTTTCTGACACAGGTGGTGGAGGAGCCGATGAGGCATGAGGTGCTCCTGGACCTCATTCTTACCAACAGGGATGGCCTTGTTAGGGATGTGAAGGTTGGGGGCAGCTTGGGATGCAGCAACCATGAGATGGTGGAGTTCCAGATGGAACTAGGCAAAGGAAGTAAGGCCTACATTTAAGCAGTACTTCTTCCATGCTCAGGATCGGCGCATCCCGAGGAACAGGAAACTGGGGAAGGGGGGCAGGAAACCTGCATGGATGAGCAAGGAGCTCATCAATAAGATCAAAAGGAAGAGGATGAAATGTGGAAAAAGGGCCTGTCCTCTTGGGAGGAGCATAGAAGTGTTGTCAGGGCCTGCAGGGACACACCCACCTAGAGGTGAGGCTTGTGGAAGAGATAAAGGATAATAAGAAGGGTTTTTTCAAGTATCTAAACAGCAAGAGGAAGACTAGGGATAACGTGGGTCCCTTGCTGAATGAGGGAGGTGTCCTGGTCACGGGAGACGCTGAGAAGGCAGAGATACTGAATGCTTTCTTTGCTTCAGTCGTTGCTCCAAGGACACTCCCCCAGGACTCCTCACCCCCGACAATAGGACAAAGGGTCTGGGAAATGGAGGGCTCCCTCCTGGTGGACGTTGGAGTGGTTTGGGTGTGTCTGAGTGGGCTCAATGCACACAAATCCATGGGTCGCGATGGGATGCATCCACGTGTGCTAAGGGAGCTGGCAGATGTGATTGCCGAACTTCTCTCTATCATCTTTGAAAGGTCCTGGAGAATGGGTGAGGTGCCTGAAGACTGGAGGATAGCAAATGTCACTCCGGTCTTCAAGAAGGACAGGAAGGAGGATCCAGAAAACTACAGGCCAGTCAGTCTCACCTCTGTCCCTGGAAAGGTATTAGAGCAGATTGTTCTGGATGCCATCTCCAAGCAATTGGAAGAGAAGAAGGTTATGAGGAGTAGTCAGCATGGATTCACAAAGGGGAAGTCGTGCTCAACCAACCTCATTGCCTCCTATGACGGCATCACCAGATGGGTAGATGGGGGGAGAGCGGTGGATGTCATCTACCTTGACTTTAGCAAGGCTTTTGATACTGCCTCCTATGACATCCTGCTAGCAAAGCTGAGAAAGTGTGGGATAGATGAGTGGAAGGCAAGGTGGGTTGAGAACTGGCTGACTGGCAGAGCTCAGAGGGTGGTGATCGGAGGAGCAGAGTCTGGCTGGAGGTCTGTGACTGGCAGTGTTCCCCAGGGGTCGGTGCTGGGTCTGGTCTTGTTCAACATCTTCATCAACGACCTTGATGAGGGAATAGTGTCTGCCCTCAGCAAGTACGCTGATGACACATAGCTGGGAGGAGTGGCTGACATGCCAGAAGGCTGTGCTGCCATTCAGCGAGACCTGGACAGGATGGAGAGATGGGCAGGAAGAAACCAAATGAGGTTTAACAAGAGCAAGTGTAGAGTCCTGCACCTGGGAAGGAACAACCCAAAGTATCAGTACAGGCTGGGGGATGACCTGCTGGAGAGGAGCTCTGAGGAGAAGGACCTGGAGGTCCTGGTGGACGACAGGCTGACCATGAGCCAGCACTGTGCCCTTGTGGCCAGTTCTGGGCTCCCCACTACAAAAAAGACAGGGATCTCCTGGAAAGAGTTCAGCAGAAGGCCACAAAGATGATACGGGGCCTGGAGCATCTTCCTTATGAGGAAAGGCTGAGACCTGGGTCTGTTCAGCCTGGAGAAGAGAAGACTGAGAGGGGATCTCCTCAGTGTATATAAATATCTGAGGGGTGGGGGACAGAAGAATGTAGCCAACCTTTCTCAGTGGTTTGTGAGGATAGGACAAGGGGCAATGGCTGCAAGTTAGAACACAGGCAGTTCCGCACTGACATGCGAAAGAACTTCTTCACGTTGAAGGTGACAGAGCATTGGAACAGGCTGCCTAGGGAGATTGTGGAGTCTCCTTCTCCAGAGATATTCAAGGCCTGTCTGGACGCCTACCTGCTCTGAGGAACCTGCTTTGGCAGGGAGGTTGGACCCAATGATCTTTCGAGGTCCCTTCCAACCCCTACACTTCTGTGATTCTGTGATTCTGTAAACTATACTATTAGTAATTTCTGAGGCTTTGAGGGACTTGTACTAAAGGCCCACATTTTTAATGTAGTCCAAGGGAAGTTCTGTGGTTTGCAGAGTAATACATTTTTTTGAATACAGCTCCCACATCTGACAGTGGTGTTTTTTTGTTTTTGTTTTTGTTTTTCAGAAGGTGGAACTTATTATTCCAGATGGCTCCTTCAGTTTCTGGTAATGCAAATAAAGTTTACTAAGGCTTATGATTCATATCTATTTAGAGTATAACTTTTTAGTACATTGCAAATGTTTAAAAAACAACCTCTTTTCAAAACGTTTACATAATAAACATTAAAAACACAATCTAGACAGGCATTTACATTGGTGGGATTAATGAAACTAGTCATGTTTTACATTTCTTTTGCACAACATATAAAAAACCTTTATGTATCAGAGGAAAAACAAGAATGAATTTGTTCACACCTCTTTAATAAACTAAGTGAAATGCAGAATATGAAAAATTTAATCTGAGGCAAAACGTATTTTATTTTCATGGTATTCACATAGCTCCATCAAAGTAAAATACACTTCATAAAGTTCAAACGATTTCAATAGTTCTATGAATTCTGAGATTCATTAGTTACTGACCTACTGAAGACTTTAACAGCTTGTGATTGTGCAAAGTTTGTGCATCTTCATTTAAGTTGTTTGCATAGAGCATGACAAAATCTGCCGAATGTTATAAACTCATTTCATTCGTCTCTTACTTTATTCTGAGTCTCTGCATCACTGGAATTCTGCCTATAATAGCATATCAGAAACTTGATCAAAGAAATTTGTTGCCAGGAAGCTCCCCAACCTGGTACGCCCCTCTGATTATTATCCTCTCCTGATAGTCCAGGCGGGCAGTGATGACATTGATGACAGAAGCCTGAAGGCTATCAAAAGAGACTTTAGGGGGCTGGGACGGTTAGTGGACGGAGCAGGAGTGCAGGTAGTATTTTCGTCCATCCCTACATTGACAGGGAGGGGTACGGAGAGGACAAGAAAAGCCCACCTGTTAAACACGTGGCTCCGGGGCTGGTGCCTACGCAGAAATCTTGGGTTTTTCGACCATGGGGCAGTTTACTCAGCACCTGGTCTGATTGCCGTAGACGGGTCCCTATCCTTTAGGGGAGAAAGGATCCTGGGCCAGGAGCTGGCGGGGCTCATTGATAGGGCTTTAAACTAGGTAAGAAGGGGGATGGGGCTGAAGCAAGGACTGTTGGGGCTGTGCCAGGGGGAGCAATGGCAAGGCCGGAGGATAAGGTGAAGGCCCAGCTGAAGTGCATCTACACCAATGCACGCAGCATGGGTAACAAACAGGAGGAGCTGGAAGCCATCGTGCAGCGGGCAGGCTACGACTTGGTTGCCATCACGGAAACGTGGTGGGACCAGTCTCATGACTGGAGTGCTGCGATGCCTGGCTATAGGCTCTTCAGAAGGGACAGGCAGCACAGAAGGGGTGGCGGTGTGGCTCTCTATATTAGAGAGTCTTTCGATGTTGTAGAACTCGAGGCTAGGAATGACAAGATCGAGTCCCTTTGGGTTAGGATCGGCAGGGACAACAAGGCTAGTGTCCTGGTCGGGGTCTGCTATAGACCGCCGAACCAGGATGAGGAGACGGATGAGGAGTTCTACAGGCAGCTGACAGAAGTTGCAAAATCGTCGGCGCTTGTACTCGTGGGGGACTTCAACTTCCCTGACATATCCTGGAAGCACAACACAGCCCAGAGGAAGCAGTCTAGGAGGTTTCTGGAGAAAGTGGAAGATAGCTTCCTGACGCAGCTGATTAGTGAACCTACCAGGGGTGGTGCCCTGCTAGACCTTCTCTTCACAAACAGAGAAGGACTGGTGGAGGATGTGATTGTCGGGAACAGTCTTGGGCAGAGTGACCACGAAATGGTGGAGTTCACTATTCTTGGCGGGGCCAGGAAGGGAACCAGTAAAACCACTGTATTGGACTTTCGGAGGGCTGACTTTGGGCTGCTCAGGACACTAGTTGGTGGAGTCCCATGGGAGGCGGTTCTGAAGGGCAGAGGGGTCCAGAAAGGCTGGGCGCTCTTTAAGAGGCAAATCCTAATGGCGCAGGAGCGGTCTATTCCCATGCGCCCAAAGATGAGCCAGCGGGGAAGAAGACCAGCCTGGCTCAACAGAGAATTGTGGCTTGAGCTTAGGAGAAAAAAGAGGGTTTATAATCTTTGGAAAATTGGGCAGGCCACTAAGGAGGACTATAAGGATGTAGCGAGGCTGTGCAGGGACAAGATTAGGAAGGCCAAAGCTCATCTGGAGCTCAATCTGGCTACTGCCGTTAAAGATAACAAAAAACGCTTTTATAAATACATCAACACCAAAAGGAGGACTAGGGAGAATCTCCATCCTTTACTGGATGCAGGGGGAAACTTAGTTACAAGAGATGAGGTAAAGGCGGAGGTGCTTAATGCCTTCTTTGCCTCAGTCTTTAGCGGCAAAACCGGTTGCTCTCTGGATACCCAGTACCCAGAACTGGTGGAAGGGGACAGGGAGCAGGATGTGGCCCTCACCATCCACGAAGAACTGGTTGGTGACCTGCTACGGCACTTGGATGTCCACAAATCGATGGGGCCGGATGGGATCCACCCAAGGGTGCTGAGAGAACTGGCAGAGGAGCTGGCCAAGCCCCTATCCATCATTTATCAGCAGTCCTGGCTATCGGGGGAGGTCCCAGCTGACTGGCGACTAGCAAATGTGACGCCCATCTACAAGAAGGGCTGGAGGGCAGACCCGGGGAACTACAGGCCTGTCAGTTTGACCTCAGTACCAGGGAAGCTCATGGAGCAGATCCTCTTGGGAGTCATCATGCGGCACTTGAAGGGCAAGCAGGCGATCAGGCCCAGCCAGCATGGGTTTATGGAAGGCAGGTCCTGCTTGACGAACCTGATCTCCTTCTACGACAAAGTGACGCGCTGGGTGGACGAGGGAAAGGCTGTGGATGTGGTCTACCTTGACTTCAGCAAGGCTTTTGACACCGTCTCCCACAGCATTCTCCTCAGGAAACTGGCTGCTCTTGGCTTGGACTGGCGCACGCTTCGTTGGGTTAGAAACTGGCTGGATAGCCGGGCCCAAAGAGTTGTGGTAAATGGAGCCAAGTCCAGTTGGAGGCCAGTCACTAGTGGCGTCCCCCAGGCCTCGGTGCTGGGGCCGGTCCTCTTTAACATCTTCATCAATGATCTGGATGACGGCATTGAGTGCACCCTCAGTAAGTGTGCAGATGACACCAAGCTAGGTGTGTGTGTCGATCTGCTCGAGGGTAGGAAGGCTCTGCAGGAGGATCTGGATAGGCTGCACCGATGGGCTGAGGTCAACTGCATGAAGTTCAACAAGGCCAAGTGCCGGGTCCTGCACCTGGGGCGCAATAACCCCAAGCAGAACTACAGGCTGGGAGAGGAATGGTTGGAGAGCTGCCAGGCAGAGAAGGACCTGGGAGTGATGGTGGACAGTCGGCTGAATATGAGCCAGCAGTGTGCTCAGGTGACCAAGAAGGCCAACGGCATCCTGGCTTGTATCAGAAACACTGTGACCAGCAGGGCTAGGGAGGTGATCGTCCCCCTGTACTCGGCTCTGGTGAGGCCGCACCTCGAGTACTGTGTTCAGTTTTGGGCCCCTCGCTACAAGAAGGACATGGAGGTGCTTGAGCGGGTCCAAAGAAGGGCGACGAAGCTGGTGAGGGGTCTGGAGAGCAAGTCCTATGAGGAGCGGCTGAAGGAGCTGGGCTTGTTCAGCCTAGAGAAGAGGAGGCTCAGGGGTGACCTTATTGCTCTGTATAAGTACATTAAAGGAGGCTGTAGAGAGGTGGGGGTTGGCCTGTTCTCCCATGTGCCTGGTGACAGGACGAGGGGGAATGGGCTAAAGTTATGCCAGGGGAGTTTTAGGTTAGATGTTAGGAAGAATTTCTTTACTGAAAGGGTTGTTAGGCACTGGAACGGGCTGCCCAGGGAGGTGGTGGAGTCACCATCCCTGGAAGTCTTCAAAAGACGTTTAGATGTAGAGCTTAGGGATATGGTTTAGTGGGGACTGTTAGTGTTAGGTTAGAGGTTGGACTCGATGATCTTGAGGTCTCTTCCAACCTAGAAATTCTGTGTGATTCTGTGTGTGAAATTAATATTTTGAAATTACTGGGATTAGCAGGAATCTTAGATCTCAGATAAAATAGTGTTATAGAGATGTTTTTCCCAAGGTGACACATTCTCATAGGTGATATCTTTTTAATGTTATAGGCTAAACCAAAATTGCTGGGTAATTGTACATAGAATTCAATAGTGATTTTATGGAATTAATGAATCATCAGGAAATTAATATCAAAGCACAGCTGACTGGGTTCCTATTCAGCACTTCTGAATCACTGCTCATTGAGCAAAGCAATCACTGGACAATGGGGGTTTTGCTTGAGCAAAATGTGAGTCAAGAGACCTGGACTCCCATTGTCTTCACTGGGAGTTTTGCCTGCATATGGAGTGAGCTGGGACTGGTGGTGAATGGGAGCCATTCACAGAGCGGCTAAGTGAAACACCCAATACATCACTATTTTGAAGTTAACACTAGGTGGTAGGCATAACTGGAAGAAATACAGACATTTTTGGAGCTATGTGAAAGACTTGTATAAAGCACACTTGAAAAGCATTGTCTTCTATTTCCCCCTGTTTTGGTATAAACCTTTTTGTTTCAAAAGGTGTCTGGATGATCACACTGACATTCCCTTTGGTTTAACAAATTAATTAAAATAATTTCCTTTTTGCGTTCAGTCTGTAGGCAGAAGAGACATCCCTGTTTAGAGCAGAAGAACTGACGTCCTTGCAGCTGCAAATGGAAATCTCTTCTACTGTGCAGACCCTCTATGATTATTTAGTTGGAGGAGGGAGAGATTTCTGTCTAACCAATTCTCCGCATGCTGCTGTTTGATGCTGAGATGCTGTTTGAGTGCATCTTCACTGATCTACCAACCCCAGATGTACATTTGGGAAAGAGAATATGAGTAACTAAGGAGAAAAGAGAATTACTGTCTACACACAAAAGGAGCACAAAATAGGCAATGATTTGGAATAGGTGTTGAGGAAACAAATAGGCCAAGATCCAAGCTTCCTTCAAAACTTGAATTCGCTGAATCAAATTAAAAGAAGACCTATCCTTAATTATCTTTCTCTGACTCAAAGAGAAGTGCTGGTAGACCAAGGAGTAAGAGGGGAGAGAGTCTTAATGGAAATAGAAAGGATCAGAGCGCTGAACATGCATAAACATGGAGAACAGTTGCTCTACCAAAGAGGACAAGAGAGAAGGCAGCCCTCAGCTGGGGCTGAAATTCAGAAAGGAGCATAGGGATGGACTGAGTGACTGCATGAAAAAGCAAAGTTACATGTTGTATAGCAAATCTGTGTAACATCCCTGTTCACCCTGCCATCTAACATCTTCATAGGCTTATTTCTTCAATAGGTCTGATGACAGTCACTTGGTAATATTTCAAGAAGAACAATGAGTAATAAATATTAAAGTACTGCTCCTGCTTTATTTCAAGTAAATCACAGATAACCAATGAGTTCTGTATGCCTTGGATCACAGCAGAGATTGGTATTTCAGAATGAGAAACACAGCAAGAAAATAAATGCTGACTACTACACAGCCTGAATATCTGGATGCTGGATGCCAGGGGTACCATGAAACAGATATTGTAAGATCTTTCGTGGTATAAGAAACAAAGATTGTCCAGAAGAATTTAATGACCTTACATCATCTCAACCAGTGTGGACTGATTATACAGCAAGATAGAAGCAAAGAAGACTTTCTCCCATTCGGTTTTCCAAACCTGGTGCTGCTTTTTCCCTGCTGAAAATTTGCATGTTTTCTCAGAGCCTGTTTCTTTCTCACAATAAACAATGCAAGGCCCTCCTGCCAAAAAAATGTCCAAATGCTAAGCAGTTGCTATTATAGTCATTATTATAACAGCAACTTTGAGCTGTGTGCTTTTAAATTATAATTATTTTTACAAAAGATTTTTATGTGTCTTGATTGCAGTAATTATGATCCTACAGTAGTAAATGTGTATTTTAAAAGTCATGTTAGCTTACTGCTCCAAATAAATGAGTTTCCTTAACTGAACTTCACACAAATGAGTGGTTTTCTTTGTATTTATCATACTTGCTATTCTAGCAACACACTAGCACATATTAAATAACTGATAAACCACTGTTCCATTATAAAAATAATGATGGGCAAAGATATAAGAAAACAGACAAATAATGTTTCATACAATATGTGTTTCATGTAGATAATACTATATTTAATTTAGAAATAAGTGTTGCTCTTTAGTCTTATTTCTCACCTATTTGTCCTTGCTTTGTTTAAGGAGTTCGTGTTGAGAAAATAAAGGAATTTTAAAAGGAGGGAATTTGAGGGAATTGTCTGTTGTAGAAGCTAGCTCCTTGCTCTAGTGTCAAGCCTCTACTCTGTGTAAAGAATATCCAGTATAAAGAGCATCACAGGACCCAAGAAATGGACTCTTTTAACAAGTCCAGTAGGGAATAAAGACAGAAAACTGTTCAGCCAGTGAGACACCCACCAACAGTGCTATTTTCCCAAAATAGGACAAATGTGGCGTCATTGCTCTGTTGCTACCGTGACCAGCAGGGATCGGAGGCAGCAGTGTATCCGTGACAGTGCGTGCCTCCAGCCAGGGCTTCCCCGCAGGATGTTCAGTAGTTCAGTCAATTCACAGGCTAGGAAAGTTTACAGCTGGTTGGATAAAAGGTTTAAAAACTGAACAAAAAAAAAAAAATCAGGAAGAGGAAATAGAGGGGACCTGAGAGAAAGGGGGAAGCAAGTCTCTGGCTCCAATACCGTGCTCTTTTGTAAAGAGCCAGAATGCTGTATCAGCTTTTCAAATGAACCTGTCTGTCTCCCGGAGCCCATTTGAGTCATTGCTACTAGCTGTGGGGAAGCTAGTGAAGACATAATGTGAAGCAGTTTGGATCTGAAACTCAATCAGCTATCAATGCGATCCCATTAGATTTGTTACAATGACATGCCTGTCTATCTCCCATCCCTTCCTAGGCAGCCTTGCCTATCCTTTGCTGAGACGAGAATTACTGCATTGTACATTCACAATCATGATAAGACATTCAGGGGAAAAGTTCATAAGCCACATCCTCTGCTGATTTAACTTCATTTCCCTTCCCCTTTCTCCCAGGAGTGGGTGCATGAGCTGACTCCTGGTGCTGGAAGGAAACAAGGTTGTCTGTTCAGCTGCAGTCAGACACACAGTGTACCATGAGGCCCAGGAAGCTGACAATGCTGAATAAAGATACTGTAGGTTCATGTTTCTCTGCTGGGAATTATCACCAAGCAGAAAGTAATGCCACATTTTTGTTACACAGCTTCTGATTGAAAACCGACAGAGGTCTAAAGCATAAAAATTACAATTATTTTCATGGGAAAAGATCTCAAAATGTAGGAATAAAAATGACCAAGAGAATTTGTTGGCTGGATTGAGTCAGCAATGTTAAGACTGTAGTGGCACACAAAATAGAGATGTAGGTAGAGGTTACTGAAAGTCTGAGTCCTGCTGGCTACTGTGCCCATTACTACTAATCATTCAGCCCAATCTCAGAAAAAACACCTTGCTTTTAAATGTTATTTTATCAGAAGAGTAGCATTTTATCACTTAATCTTCACCATCAACAGAACAATTTACAACATCATTTTTATTGATAAGTGGCTTTGGCCAATGACTTGTTATGCAGCACAGATAAGCTGAAGTTCAGAGTAACCAATAAAGGAAAATTTCCACTAAAATTGACCAATAGTGATATGCTCTGATTCATATCCTGGAGTGGTCTTAGAAGGTGTGATCTGGATTCCTTCAGGAAAAGACAAAACTAGATCTTACAGTCCAAGCACTAATGGGTGTTTGGGTCAGAAAAAAGAGTTAACAGCAATTCACAGTAACGCTTTTGGAGTACATACCCTGCACATATTGGGTCCTCAGTGCCAGCTATGAACCCACAGATCTTTTTCTTTTTACGTGTGCTAACAGAACATAGCCTATGTTCTCTTTGATGTGTCTAGAGCACATATAAGCATACACATTACAGTGTTAACCTTCATTGCATCAGATCTTAATCAAAAATGAAGTATATTTTTCATATTTAGCTGGAGAAAACTGAAGTATTTTTCAAATCCCACTGTGATAAACAGAAAGTAAACAAACACTAAACCTCAATTTCACATCATTTCAGCATGGTCAAAAAAGGAAAGAGCCAATCTAGTATCTCAGGAAAAAAAAACATGCCATGGTCCAGTGGAAATATTCAGGAGCCTAAGGCTGTGTCTTAACTCTGCCAAATATTTGCTAACTTTTAAAGAATAAGTTTGATCTCTCAGAGCCTCAGTTTCTTCATTAGCAAAACAGGGTCTAACGGTCTAATTAACTGTTCTAAGACTGGTTGGAACTTGCAAGGGAGTAATATATATTCTCATTTTGTTCAACTCAATTGAAGACTGGGGACATACCAACTTAATATGAATAAACATATTCTTTCACAAGCATATCACTCCAATTTTGCCATTGCAACATGGATTGCAAACACGTTATAATAGTACTTCACTAAGCTTCTACCTAAAACTTTGTGACAGTGAAGATACAGCCAGCATTAACTGATAGTGCTGGTTTGTTAACATGAAAACTTGGTTACCTGGAGTGTTAAAATGCCTGTCTCAGCTGGGATACATGAGCTCTCGTACTGGGTTTATTACCCTCTGGAAAATGAAATAGTTGTACAACATGTTGCTTCACTTCCACATTTTGCATTTGCTGCATTTGACTTCCCTGGGATTTTGCTTGATAGCTCTAGTCAGCTGAAAATAACAATACTTTGTGTCTGAACAACACCTTCCACTCTGATACCTTTACTTATTTTACAAAAGGCACTTTGCCGACGTGCAAGGTACATTTACTGACTGATTCTGCTAGCCAAACCGAAACAGGGCTTGAGTTTACTATGATACATGGATTCAGATGACTGAATCCATGCTGCTTGTAAGAATAAGGTTCAAGTTAAAGCCAGCCTTACCCAATCCGTGCATCTCCTGCTTTGTCAGCCACTGGGTGCACTGTCAAGTAAGGGCTAGAAATGAAGCCCAAAGCAGAAAAAAGTATGCTGAGTTAAATGCCAACATAGACAAGCTTTTCAGGGCCTCATGGTGTTCCTTTTTTTTTTTTTTATGAAAAAAAACATGAAAACAAAAAAAGTAAGCATGTAGAAATGATTATGTCGATGTGACTTTGGTAGTAGAACAGATCACTGCTGCTTTGTCACTCTATAAAGTGTATCGATGTTTTCCCATATTCTTGGTATTGGCTGGTTTGATCTAAAGTCTACCATATTTCTAGGAACTTCTATGTTTTAAGTTGTTCTTCCTAGTAACTAATAGTACTACTAAAAATTACAGATATAAGAGCTTAACCAGTCAAATTGTAAATCTCATCCTAGTCCTGGTAATTAAGGATTGTGTAATATATCTGTTAAATTTATTGCCTATTTAAAAGTAGGTTCATTGTAATTATGTATGACCAAAAGACACTGCACTATTAACAGTGACTCATTTATCCTTATCCAAAGATACCTAATATACATGTGTATTGCAATATGGAGGATAGTATTCTTTATTTGCTCTTTATAAGTTTCTTTATTTCACCACCAAAGATAAATAAATTAACAAAAGGAAAGGATGTCAGGAAAGGAAGGAGAAGGTAAAAAAAAAAAAAAAAAAAAAAAAAAAAAAAAAAAAGGAACATGTTGCCAAAAAGGATTCAGTTACTATTTTATTTCTCTAAGCACTGTCTGTTGCTCAATAAGAGCTAATAAAAATATTACTGCTGAAGTCAAACTGAAGTCAAACTGTAAGACTACTTATTTTCTATTTACATTTTTTTCATAGAATAGCTAATTCTCTCTCATTGGATTATCCTTGTTTCTCTAGACTCTACTATTAATTAAAGTGTTAAATGATGACATACTTTGGGACCACCTCGCCTGGGGCCTCACCCCTCTCCCATTAGGCAACTGGAACATTACCATTCATATGAACAGGAGGAAGAATGAAGTCCTTATCTGGGAGATTTCAGAGAAAACATGCCATACTCCAAAAGGAAGCATCAAACAAGCAGATCACTAAAGGTCAAAGGTCAGTAAATAGGTCAATCCCCATCTCCAGGCAAAAAGGTGAAAGTATGTAAAAACTGAACCACGAAAATAACAATGACATAGACATTTAAGATGACAGATATAAGAAAATACAAGACGTGGCTTCTATCTTTGCAACACAAGCTGTCAACATTTTTTCTTGCTTTTTAAAATAAATGAATAACAAATAAGGCAATTCAGATGTTTACTTTCTCTCTTGAGAACAAGACTGCAGTTCTAAATACAAGTACAAACCTACAGTGATCCCAAGCATGGTTGCATTAAAATGTAAAATTATTTTTCTCTGTGTTACACATTATGTGAAGCCTGTTTTAAATTAACAGACATTTTAGCAAAACCATTGCTGTGACTGTTTGAAAGTAACGCTGCTTCCAGTTTTATTTCTTACCTCACTGTCTTCTGTGTGCCTGGTAAGTAAGATTGTTTCCATGTACTTGAAATGGCTTTATACAGAAAAAGAAAAATAAAAGCAACATAATCCATCAGCAGAATTCTTAACTTTTACATTTATCATACATTTATATAAGCTTCCATTCATAGTATTTGTTAATCTTTTAGGAAAATGCACTTAAAATCTCATGAAAAATTCACTGCCGTATAGTTATTGAAGAACTTAAACTGACTCTAAAATGAAAATGTTCTTCTAAAAGTTTAGATCTTTGGGAGTTCTCCCAGCTCTGCTCCCCAAGCATTTTTTCAATAGTGCAAACTTTTAAATGCTAAAAAAACTGAATGCCACTAATTTCCCAGAAGTGGATGTTTTATGCTTCATCTTTCATTCCCTGCTGTGGAAACAGGCTGGATAATGGGGCTTAGCATCCAGTGACTTTAAATTGCTGAATTAGAGGCAAGTCTCATCACAAATTTTATGTATCTTCAAGAAACATACAAATAATTATAGCTGATTACATTTTTTCTCAATTCTTGACCATGCTCCAGTCGCTTTTGAAAGATGTCTGGTTTCCTACCCTGGAAAGAGGGAGTTCATGAATAAGTGTGTTTAAGGATTATAAAATATTCGATAGCCTTACACTATGCCTCTTTTTAGTACAAGCTAGCATGCTCATGTATTTTATCATTTATTTTGAAAAGCACAGGAACAGTGTTATGTAATCATGTGGAGGCTTTTCAGCTTCCCAGTCCAGAATATGGAATGAAGAAGCCGTCCCTGCTCCGTGTGTGGGTGTGTGATCCTCCAGTTCTTCCTGGGTTCTGATTTTGCATTTCTAATGAAGCTGAACTGACAAAGCGTGAAAGTGGTCTAAAAGGAAAAACAAAGAAAGTGCCCCTGTTCTCACTGTGCCAAGACTCATCAATATTCCAGCAGCTCGGCTTTCCTCTCTTGTCTGATGTGTTTTTATTTTTTTTTTTTCAGAGCTGGGCTGAGTCTCCTCCCCTTTCCTTAACTTACAGGGATAGTAAGTTGCTGTATTCCCAGCACATGCAGATTGTCAGTTTTCTCTGTCTCCCACTCACTGAACTGCTGTATCTGCTGGGAAATTCCTGCCGTATCTGCCACCTCCATTTGTGTACAACACTGAAAATCTGAAAAGGTGAGCTGATCCATTAATCTGCTGGGGTTTGGGGAACGGAGTCTTCTTTTTTCTCTCTCCTCCTTTGTATGTTACTTAATGTAATGATACTTTTGCCTACAACCATGTTCTCTCTTGATCTTACTGTTAAACTATAGAGGACAGACTAGATGTGTGAATTGTCTTGGAAACAAAAGGCACTGTGAATGAATCTGTGTTTTACAAAATACTCAAAATTAATTGGTTTGAAAAAATCCTTCTTGCACACAGTAGTCGTGTCCAAGCTGGAATATGTAGTAATGTAAATACCTAGTTCGGTCTATGAATGCTTTCACTCTAACAAGTTAAGCATGCATCATTCCGTCACACAGAATATTGTACTCAAGTGCCAATGTTCCAACATAAGGTAATTCAAAAAGCAGTGATCATATCCCACCAAAATAAATTTGTTAGAACATGGTATTTTCTGTAAGACAGACTGTTTCAAAACCCTGTGTATTTATAGTTTAACGCTTCCTAAAAAAGGTATTTAAGCACTAGACTTATTATGATGTTAAGTTGCGTTGTGTATAAATAGAGAGACAGATTTCACTGGAAACTACTAACTCTGAACATTTATGAATTTCTAATTTCATCATAAAAGCATGATTAATGAACACTTAGAAAACTGGATTTTCAGCCAGGAAAACACTTTGTGCAGACTCTTTTATTAAATAAGTTCATACTAAGGAGACATAAATATTTAATCTTTAAACAAACAAACAAAAATAATATTTTAATGAAGGATTTTTAATACTAAAACATTTTAGGGTTGATTCAGTATTTGATTTCTTAAAATCAGATTATGTCCCTATAGTTGCTGTTGGACCAGGCTAGCCATTACTCTGCAATGTGAACTTGTATTATGGTCAGAGGCGACAGGCTAAGTGGGATATAACTTATGATGCTTTACAGATGTGGTCTTCAAACATGAACGTTATCAACATAAAACTGTCAAAGGCATATCTTCTAAATTGTGGTTGAGGGATAAATAAACTATTCCTGCTGGGTTTTGCCATGTGAAAAGGAGGAATTCAGACAATGCAGTCAACCATTTGAAAACATCTGAAATGCAGAACGTTTTAAATGTTCCATTTCAAGCAAAATATCTCTCTCCATTGGTTAGAGTAAAGGTGAGCTTGTTTTTGTTGGTTTTTTTTTTTGTTTTTTTTTTTAAGATGGTGTAGACCAATAAAAAGTAAGGCTGACAGATAGTTTTAAACATTATAATTACTTATACTTCCAGGTGCTGTACCCATTTTATGTTACTATATCTCTAGCAACTGGAAAAAAATTACAGAATTACAGCAAATTCAGATTAATTTCTGAAGACAGGATACCTATCTGAACAGCTCATAAAATCCTTTTCAAAGAGTTCTTCTCACAGCCAACAGCTTAGATGTTTCAAATAATACAAGTTGTAAGGAAACATGAAGAATAACCACTTCCATGTAAACATATGGCTAACCATTCCTCTGAAATCTTATTTCTTGTCTTACAGGTTTCTCCAGTACCTCCCACGGAAAAGGGTCTCTCACTTTTCTGAAGGGATTTTGACAGAAGTTAGTTGTAAGAGAAAACTTTCTGCAAGACAGATGACTAAAGGGAACGGAGAAGATCCCAAAAGTGGAAGTAGGATGGAACGCTTTCAACAAGGAGTCCGGAAACGTACACTTCTGGCCAAAAAAAAGGTGCAGAGCATAACAAAGGATGATGTTAAAAGTTACTTATTGAGGAATGCCTTTGTGCTCTTCACCGTTGTTGCTGTGATTCTTGGTGAGTAATTTGTTCAATAGGAATATTCTGTTCTCCAATGCATTTGACAGTGACAATTTGCCTGGGCAATTTGCATTACAAAAAAGATCCCAAATTCTTCTGAACTGATAAGAGTGTTCTGGCTTGGAGAGTTTGGGCTCTGACACCAGCACGTTGAACTTTTGCAAAGAGCCATTTTAATTATTCTAGGGAAAATTGTGATGAAGGAAATCAGCTGTTCTATGGATTCTTGTCTTAAGGAACCAGGTACAATAGCTGAATGGAGTATTCTCAGCAAAAGCTTCTACCAAAAAAATTTGCAGCAAAATGCTCAAGATGTAATTTTTATTTACCTAATCTAGCCGAAACTAAAACCTTGCAATCATAAACAGAAGTCCTAAATGAATTACTTTAAAATTAAAGAGTGACATTTCTGAGCAAAGTTCTTTATCAGAGCCTCAATCTTTCTAGTTTTCCCTTGACAAATACAAACCTATCAAACCTAAGTACAAGCTTATGCTTGTCCAGTTGCTCACAATCTTACACATGCATCTTTCAGATGCAATTGGGGCAACAATAGAAATGCTACTTGTTCAAGGGACTGCAAGATATCACCTGATTAAATGCCTTTTTTAGAACGTATTGAATCCAGAATATTAAATAGCACTTAGATTTGGAATGCAAAAAAATGTGTATTTAAAATACAACTACACATTTTGTTCACATAAGAGAATAAAAATACATCTACCCATTTTGTTCACATAAGAAAAAGAATAATCTGACCAAAAAATGTTTAAAAATCAAAATTTACTTTATATAATTATGTGATCACCTCTGGTCATCTTGCTTTAAATACAGATTAATTTTCTACATGGTACCACCATATGTTCCAAGAAATTATATTCCTTATAGTGTGAGCGTTATTATTTTACCATACATTTTTCTTTTTATCTTCTGATCAGTTTAGGTATGAAACTGTGAATCTGATCATCAAAACCCAAATGTTAACACTTAAAGATAAGGGTATAAGTCCTAAACCTACATAGGCCCTAATGCTAATGATGCTGCTGTTTTGCATAGATCTGCTTGTTCTATGTCTTTCTTAAGGAATTTACATTTCAGGGATTTATTATTATTTTGTTTGACACCACTACCGCAAGATTATTTTAAATTACTTTCAGCTTTCATAGTCTTTTTCTACAATAGAGTTATATTGATTTGCATAAGGGTAAAATGAAGTACTTTGTTGCTGTAACAGAAAAACCATTCTCTCATGTTTATCTGTATTGTTTGATCAAAAGTGCTTTTCATTCCTAACCAAGAAATTGTTCAATGCAAAAAAAAAAAAAAAAAAAAAAAAAAAGAACCAAAGAACCCCTACCATTCATATCAAGGATATAAAGTGTAGGCGTTCTATCTACAATTTTCAGGAAAGGCAGAACAAACCAAGCAGGTCTTGAAACACCCTCCAGCTGCTAAGAAATACAATTCTTCTATCAATATCTGTCTCTACTGGACAACAAGACTAAAGCACTCTTACAATTGTTTCACTGTCACATAGCTCCAGTGTCACAGACCTCCATAAACTTGGCAATGTGGGAACAGAAATGTAGTCTCAACAAGTGTGCTTACAGTAACTACATGTTCCAATTAGCTTTAGATGAGTAGTGACAAATGTGAGTCCATAGCTTTGCTAGCACCTACAACCATTTCAGAGTACTATTAAGGCTGGAACACAAGCTGGAGAATTGAAAATATGCATCTCAAGATGACTAAAGCTGCTAAAATTATGCTCGTGAACCAGACATATCTGGTGTAATGTTCAGAAAAGAGTCTGTTCATTACTGTTATGGAATATTCCAAAATTTTCTCCCATTTCTGGTGTAGTTTTATAGTATACTCATGACTAAAACAGCAAGTTCACCCTTGACAGCTCATATAAAGGTAAAACTTCTATTTTGGGAAATTTTTCACTGTTGTGGAAATATTCAGAAGTAGGGAACAAGTAGGGAAAAATTAGTTTGGAAAAGTATTGTTGGTTGAACTGCATCTGTCTAGTTTGGCAAGAGCAAAACTTCTACCATCTCTCAGGTGTTTGGTGATCTATGCAAAATCAGATGATGGGCTTTTCTAGCGGACAGTAATTAACATCGCAAAATTAATGCACCAGTTAACACCTCTAACTGCCTCATCAAAGATGCTCGTATGTAAATATAGGTGGAAACCAAACTATACTCAGGTCAAGGTTGAATCATTCAAAAGAAAATATGCTTAATGCTCTCTGTAGTCAACAAATAGAGACATCAGTTTCTAAGGCTGTCAGTCCGGTAATGTTCATAAAGACTCAACTCAGGAAAACTCAAATTTTATCTTAAAAGAGTGCAACATTTCCTCAGAAACATTTCTTTTAGGCCACTTTTGCCAAGGGATCAAGATGAAAAAGCCTGTTTAATAGAAAGCATTTCTGAATTCTTTGCTGGGCAGGATTGATGCTAGTAGTGGTCAAGTGTATAAGATCGTGTCTTAGCCCAGTTTCAGGACTGTAGCTTGTAGCAGGCATTTGAGTTTGCCAGATAACTTTGTGCCTGTGGAAATAAGCATGAAGCTGCAACATGCTTTTTTTTGTTTTGTTTTGCTATGTTTTGTTTATTTTTGTTTTTGTTTTTGTTTTGCACATTTTACAGACAAAGCAGAGAATTTCTGGCATGTCCATAATAAGGAAAATATAACCACCTACCCTAACTTCTGCTGGTAATCCAATTCTGAACTAATTTCTAAAGTAAATTTACTAGTTGTTCCAATACAAAAACAATTACTCTTTAATAACCTAATTACAAACATGCCAAAAGTTATAACTCACATTGAGAATTACTTGCACACCATCCTCTCTTTCCTACAAACCTAAAGAAAGATCTTCTTACTTCACATTTTGCACATTATTGCATCATTATTATAATGCATCATTATTATAATTGTTGCCAGTTTTAGGGAAATCTCAAAGCCTTTGAAAAACTTTGAGAAAAAGTGCTCAGCAAAGCGAGTTACAATGAAATTTTTCGAATTCTGCTGGCCCACCTAGAAATATTAAATTAGTTTTTGTGGGTTTTTTTGAAGTGAATCTTGGCAAAAGCCAAAAGATGGGTGAAGTGAATTGGGGAAGCTGACCACTGGTGAATTCAGGGCATCACAATGAGCAGGAGCAACTTTAGGTATGCTAGAGGTCTGGTGGCTCATGGAAAATCTGCAGGAAGGCTTACAAACTTTTAAGTGTTAGCCAAATTACTGGAAAAATCACAGAGGCTGCCCTTTCTCTCATGCTACTTAACTTCATCATCCTGTCCCCAAAATGCCTTCCGTTCAGACACCTTCCTCTAGCAGACACTTGATTCTCTGCTACCTACCTTCTGTTTTTCCAAAACTGCTAAAGTCCAGACTTTATTCTGGAAGGACTTTTAAATGCCCAAGAATCTCTTGTGAATTCTGAACTTATGCTGAAGGAAAGATCACAGTGCACAGAGGTTCTGAGAAGCTGTTCACAGAGAGGAAGGATGTGAAGTACTATAAAAAGCAGTTTTTGCATAGGTCAGAAGTTATCATAGCCCCTTTCAAAGGGGACAGGAATGGAGCATGTTCTGGAAGCTGGTTTGGGTTTCTGGCTGCATGAAACTGCTTCCAGTTCTCTGTAATTCAGGCAATCTCACAGTGAATGTGAGAGGTCCATATGACTATACCAAGTCTGTTCTACAACAGCATGTACCATACGTAGGATCCCCAAACTTTCCAATATCCTCTTAAAAACAAAAACAAACAAACAAACAAAAAACAAAAAGCTAGCTTAAATTACAGGGTGAAGATAGCAGGGATGAAGGCATTTCCAATGTCCCTATGGCCCCAAAAAAGTAGCGTTATAAAGTCTGCAGATGATCCTTCATAATACAGAAGGGGGCAGTGGTAGGAGGGAGGGAACGGGGGGAAAGATCTAAAAGATCTGGACCACGAAAAGCTGCGCAGTGCAGCAAATTCACGTATTTCAACACACAACTTGTCCAGACAGCAATTTAAAATGTGTCTTAAGAGGAATAAGTCTGTGATACATGGTTAGATGGAACCACTGGATAACACCCACAAAAAATAATAATAAAAAAAAGACATTCTCTTGTGTATTAAAGTGACATCTTTTCTGCTAGTGGTAGGTCCTCTGTATCCAATGAAGAGAAGGGAATTTGACCCCATTATACACTGGCAATGTGCACTGTGACAGTGCTCAAGGCAGCCTTGGTAAAATTTGCATGAGAACAAAGCAAAGATCCATCACTGTAAGCGAAACAGCTGTGGGAGGTGAATCCTAGGTGAGAGAATATGGTAAAATATAAAGAGAGAAATGTGATACTGGACAAAAGGATAAGACGTATACAAGAAAATCAAGACAGCTTAGAAACAGATAAGGAGAAATTCATTCTATTTATGCTGAATTCAGAGGCTGTCTTTGTCTCCATGCTCTTCTAAAGAACCTGTCCAGCATGATTGCTCCTTTTTACTGTGAACTTTACTAGCAATATACTGAAAACAAATATATAGCAATAAATCCCTAAGCCAAGATTAATTTTATTTGAAGTTAAGAAATATTTATAATTTTGTGGAAAATATATAAATAAATAAATAAACAGACAACGTATGGTCCTTTAAACAGTGCAACACTTAAAAATTAAAACATGGTCTTCTTCAAAAAGGGGTAAGAAGTATAGAAATACAAAGAAGTGTAATTCTGCTATCTAGTATCCAGTAATAAATGTCAGATGGTGAAACTGTTAAGCTAGTTTAACAGGTACTTGTAAAATAAAATTATGTACATTTATTATCACAGTCTTAATGTCTTATCATACACTCTGGTGTTAATGAAATGAAACAACCCTAGTTGTCAGACGGCCACATACATAGCGTAGTAACATCAGTACACATGGCTGCTCTGTGAATCACAGCTGTGCATTCACTAATAGTGCATATATTATTAAAGATACAAA